GAATAGATAATATTTTTATATTAATTTTCTGGCCCACAAGAAGTTCACATAGCGAACACGGTGGTCTTATATGAAAGGAATGATCTCCTATAGATTGAACAAAAATTCTGAAGGTCTTTAGATTTGAATCCATGTAATACAATGAATTAATTATTTTGTTCAAAATTTTAAAATTTTAAACTCCACATTCTATCCCACAACACCTCGCTACAAGTCCAATACTTATTAGTTTAGGTTTGGTAGCACCGTAAAATCTATGTGAAAAGATAACAATTGTTTGTCCTTTCGTTGCGATTCGGATTTTTTGTTGTTGTGTATTCTATTTTTTTTATAGTTAGAATTTTGTTTACTTAATTTGTTTTTGTTATTATTTTATGTTTTGTTTTTGTATTTTTATCAAAAATGATCACAATATTTATAATTTAAAAATTTAATAACAACAGTTTTTGTTTATGACTTTTTTTTCTAGTGTTTAGATGTTTAACAATTTAAAAAAAAATAATTTCAAAATTAACAAGTTTTGGATTAGTTGATGATTTCGGATGTGGATGCTTGCCTAGTTTTTAGATTTGAGCATTGTTTTTGTTTTCTGTGGGTTTGAGCTTGGAATTTTTGTAAATTTCCAGTTTTTTTATTTTAGAATCTGTACAAGTTGTAATTTATGAGTTTAATTTTTTTTTTGGTTTTTAAATTAAGGACAGTTTTTGGTATTAATTTTTGTTTTCTAGTAGTAGATTTTCAGCAAGCTTCCATTTCCTTTTTTGGTTTCGGGTTTATTCTGTTTGGCTTTAAAGTTTTTTATAACTCTTTTTTTGTTGTTGTTAAATTTGTTGTTTGTTTGTTTCTTAATACGAAAAAAGGTGGTTTGCTTTGCTTCATTTGGTTTGTTTTTGTTCTTCATAATAATAAAAAAATTGTATTTGAAATTTTATATCATGTTTTTTTGTTGGTTTGCTATCAAAAAACTTTAAAGCTCGGTTTTTTACTGATCTCTTTCTTTCATTTTGTGTTTAGTTAAATATTTCGTTTCCTCCGTTCTTTCTTCTTTTTTTGTTCCATTAGACCTATTTTGATTTTTCGGTGTTTTATAGTTTTTTTTTGGCATTCAAAATTCACCACCTGGTAATTCTTAGAATTTGGGTTTCAAAAGTGTTTTGTTGTTGTTGTTTTTTCTTGGTTAGTTACTTATCTATTCTCACAATTATTTATTCATTTATTTATTTTTTGTTTAATAACTATATACACATTTATTATTTATATTATTTATATTCTTAATATGCTATTAAATATTTACTTCGTTTGCTTTGAATATTTCAAAGTGGTTTGTTCACATTTGGCAAGGTGGGTGAATGGTGTTGGAAAAAGGGAGAGGGGTTATAGAAATGTATTTAAAAGAATTTTTTTTAGAACCTGTGACTTTTTGTTGCCACAAATTTCAAAATCTTCAAAATAATTTACTAGAAGGCAAATCCGTCTAAAATATACTCTCAGCCTATGTCATATTTAGTATAAATTTATCCGGAATTTTGTACGCTATTTTGGATTTAAAAAAATATATAGAAAATTGTCTAAATTATATTGGCGACTCATTTCACATTTTGTGAGACTTTAGATTTTTCAGAATTCAACCAAAAGTTTCATAGAATACCCTCTGAAGTTCTTCTCTTCATAGACAACTCTCAGAATATCCTCAGGAGGTAGGTCTTGTACCCATAGAAGATCCTCTGAAGGTATTTTACACAACGACTTGGGTTTTATAAATGTAACACAAGAACTCGAGCCGGACGACGTCAAGTTTCTGTTGAGAACTCTCTCCTTCCTTAATTGTTGGGTGTGGTTTATGGTCCGCAAGTTTCATAGTACAACACTTTTTTCGACATAAATTAGGTCTAGACTGATGTGTGTCAAGTTTCCTGAAAATCGGTCCAGATTTAGATATAGCTACCATATATATTTTCGTCCGATTTAATGTAAATGGTGCACCAAAGTCAATATATATCTTTCGATTTGCACGGCATAGCGTAATGAATTAGGTCTAGAATGATGTGTGTTAAGTGTCGTGAAAATCGGTTCAGATTTAGATATAGCTCCTATATGTCTTTTCTTCCGATTTTTTGTAAATTGTGCACTAAAGACCCAAAGTTTGTCCGATTGTCACACAATTTTGTACAATGAACTGTAGTTAAAAATAAGTTAGTCTCTGGCAAGTCTTATTGAAATCGGTTCACATTATATATATATATATATATACTATATCTATAGCAACTATACAAATATAACAACAGGTAGCGTAGATTCAAGACCTCATTGAGGGTTTCCAAAAGGTGTGAACCTGACGTTATATTTTGATTTATGTTTGATAGCAATATTACGATTTGCAATCAATCACATTATAAGACATTTTATGGATTTCCAAAATGTTGACCATTATGAAAAATTTCTCAGACAGACAGAGAGAGAGAGAGAGAGAGAGATAGAGAGAGGTTATATCTACGGATTTAATCCAGATTTGATAAAGATTAATAATATGATGTACAAAGTTTCTACCAATTCGACTACTTAGTATGCATTTCATGACGCACCACAAGTGAAGTGAACCTATAAGCTCCATTATGGGATTATAATATAGGTTCAGTACAAATATTTCCATGAGAAATCCGAACTTCATACACTTTATAAAAATTTTTGATTTCAAATTGTAGACCCTTTGTGGGATAGATACCAGAAGGAGTGAACCGATGGATTCCATCTTCGGACTTGATTCTGGTTTGATAACCATATTGTGGTGTCAAAGTTTGGATAAATTCGAAAACTTAGTAAATGTTTACAAGTTTCATTATATTGATCTATTGTGGATGATGTACCTGAAGGAGAGACCCAATAGACCTCATCTTCGGATGTAGGTTTGACATTAATTCAATTGCTTCATAAGAAATTTACTAAAAGAAAAAGTCAACCCTTTGAAGGTATCAGAAGTGGTGGGCCGATGGGCCACAGTCAGGGTCAGGATCGATCTAGTTTTAACAAATATATTACAATGCAAAAAATTTGTATCGATTCGATTTCTCAATTTACTTCATGTGAAATATTTCACATTTTTTAAGTTGGTCCTAAGTTGGTGAGGAGAGAAGGGTGTAAAAATATGGCACTGTGTATCAAGATTTGCGGTGGAATATACGATTAAAACTGGTAGACAAACGTGTCATCAAGACAGGCGGACTCGACATAGTCTAATTTTGTACTTTGTTTTAATTCGAATCTATACTTAGTCAAAAATGTCACAATGAAATTTCAAGTGAACATCCCAACACCTCTTAAAGATATAGCCGATTTATTGTGCTAGCATCAAGTGACAGCAAGAGGGCTTTTCAAACTTTAAACGCATTTTTCTCCAGTTTTTTTGCAAATGGCGGGCACGATAACAGAAAAACTAATAATCCGATCGATTCAAAATTTTGGGACGTTTCTCTGTGAGTGTATAGCTATCGTATGAACTAGGATAAATCCAATAGGTCAAGATCTTCCTTCTTTTTTAACTTGGTTTGTGGTAAAAAATAGGCGATATTCCTTCAAAGGATTTGATTCAATTACACTTGGGATCGAAAACCGATTTGCGATAAATCACATTTTTCATAGTATTAAAGTGTATGCACTCTCAATAGTCTTAAGGCTAAAAAAACTACTCCATACTTTTCGACTGCCTTAAATTTTCGATTAGGCTCTGTTTCCAGGAGCTCCGACTGTCGTGTGCAAATCCAACAATTTCGAGTCACCTAATCATCACTGAAAACAGTGATGATTAGGAACGAAAAGCAGAATTAAGATATTAATGAGATGCCACTTCATGTGGAAACAAGTAAAAACGTCGTTAAGATCGACTGAACCGAACTTTACATGATCCCACCGATAATCCCAAATTCCAGAAGCTGAGAAAGGAACTTCAACATACCGAAAATTAGAGATTAGAAATTAGGAGCCTATGTCGAATTATGGACCTCTGCTGAACCTTTTCTTGGAACATATTTTTTATTCACCCGGTAGTGTGAAATGAGGCTAAAGGCTTCAAAATATCGAAAATGCTCTGCAAAGACGTTTTTCACCCTCGGAAATTGTCTGAAGAGATGTCTTCACTCTCCAGAGAACCGGAATGATAACAAAATAAGGTTTAAAGTTCCAAAATACCGAAAATTAGGCTATGAAAAATATGGCCCTATATTAATAATTTTCTGCATAGATGTGAGTCACTCTCCATGAACTCGAAGTATTTATTTACAGTCACATAGGCTGAAAAGTGTAGTTCGTATCTCCAACATACCGCAAATTGGGCGATACAGTATGTATGTTTTTATATTTATATCTAAAAAGCATAAAATAATTTAATTTTTTCGGAAGGGGTTTGAATATCTAGTCGCAAATCCCAGGCACCACATCCCCGAAGGAAAGAGAAAACTATTTAACAATATATTACGTACAAAGTAACACATTTCCCCTTTTTGCCATCCATCTTCCAAATCATCATGCCACTGTGAATTCTTTTTAGTTTCCATCTTTTTATCAATTTGTTTTTGTTGTTTGTGTTTTGTTATTACTTAAATTTAGTACATTCATTGTTAACTTAGAAATATGGCACACAAAATGTTGCTTGATTTATGATGTGAAGGTTGTTTGTTGTTGTTGCTGTTGTTTTACACGATGTCGTTCATATATAGGGCATCCTTAGGAAGGAATTTCGTTTGTTTTTTTTTTCATCTTCTTCTCCTCTCTCAATTCAGTAGTTCAGCATTCAATAAAGAATTTTATGATTTCTTAATAAAAAATGTTGAGTTTTTTCCACATATATATTTTTTTAGTTGGTTGTTGTTGTTGCTACTGGAAAAATACCTTGTTGTAGTTGGGGTGTTGTTGTATACAACATGTCTTGTGCATAAGATGATGGAGGAGTGGAGAGTATGGAGAGAGAGAGCGTGATTGCGATTCTGGGTTTTTGGTATTTCTGTTTTTGGTCTTTTGAGTTGTTGACTCCTTAGAGAACTGTTTCCATTTCCGCTATTTCCGTTTTATATGACCTAAAGTAAGCAGGAAGGATATTTCCAAAAAAATATAAAAAAAAAATAAAATGGAAAACAAAAAATTAAATTATTAATAATTTCATTTATTTTATGTTGTCATCTAATTGTTTTCTACAATACATTACAAAATATTCAATAAAAATTACTTTAAGACAATTATGGGTTAGTTTTGGTTGTGTGTGTATATTATATATATGTATGTGTATCGTTGTGTGTGTAATTGAATTGAATTTTATCTTGATATTATTATTTGCTATTTTCTGTATGGTTGGCCACATATCCTTTGGAAGACACACAGACACAATACATTGTTAAGTCATCCATGTGATTGATGATGATATCTGAGATGTTCGTTGGCTATTTTGAATGTTTTTCTTCTAGATTCCAATTTTGCTGTTTTTTTTGGTGGGTTTGAGTATAAAGCTGGAATGTGTGGTTAGTAATGGTGGTGGTGATGTTCATCATGGTTGTGCTGAGGTATGGGTAATTGAGTATGTGGGTGTGTGTGCTACATTTATGCCATGTATTCATTAAAGCCTAAAATTGTCCATTTGCCACAATCAAACATTTTTATTGTAATCATGATGTATTTTTATTGGAAAAACTTTTCCTATTAATTACAAAAGCAATAACAACTAACAACATAAAAATCCTGCAAATCAATCAAGCCTTTTTTCCCCATTCGTTCAACTCATCAAATGAAATACCATCACAGCTAAATTATTTTTCTTGTATTTTCTTTATTTCCATCACACATACATAAAAAGAGAGAGTAATTTGTTGCTGGGGGGTTTTTTGTAGTTCTTAATTTTCATTTCATCTCTCCCCCATGGACCCGAATGATTTATGTCAATGTCCTCTTTAAAACAAAAACCGTTCTGTACTTATGTGTCACAATAGAAACAAATTATTTTTCGAAAAGTTTTTGACAAATGTCGACACAAAGTGTTTCTTTCTTTATTGTCCTTTTTGGATAGCGCCTTAAGCTTTACACATTTTCTTTAATGAAATGACCATTTTGGGAACAATTTTGTTGTATTAATGACATGAAAAGTTGGAAAAATCGTAGGTGGTCTAATTTGCAAAGCAGAATTGATTATATATACTTGAATTAGAAATAAAAACTCTGAAGGTGAAAATATATTATCGTAATTAGGAAAAAAGTAAAAGTAACAGAACATAATTTAAAAAAAGTGTCATAATTGTTTCTGAGGGAAATATGAAGGATATTTTTGGCCAATTTTTGTAAATAAGACAAAGAGAGTCTTTATAGAGGAGCTGCAAGGATTTATAAGCGAGGTGAGGTTAGAATTTATAAATGAATTGAAGGTAGACTTTATAGATGAGGTGATTTTCTTTATAAGCTGAGGGGTTTCCGAACCGCACCAGTAATTCATAAAAAAATCTGAAGCTATACTCGTCGGCGTGTATGAACTGAGGAGGTTTTTGTAGGACAGCTGAATAGAAACGAGCTGATGGGTGAATTTATATATGAGTCTTTATAGTAGAGTTTTTATAGTAGAGTAGTAGGGATGGGGGTCTTTATAGACGAGCAAAAGCACAAGACCGAAAGCGGGGCCAAGGGTAGTTTTTATTGAAGAGCCCCCATTGAAAGGGATTATTTAAGAACGAGTTAAAATCTGGAAGATTAGAGTGAAAGGAGATTCATCATAGCAAACTGAAATTGAAGAGCGGGACGCATATATATATATATATATACATATATATATATGGAAATTTTTATATATGGAATTTTTGACGGAATCCTCGAAAAATGTCCCGCGTGAAAGGAAGCATTTCAGGACGATTTAAGACTGGACAAGGCTTTTATAGAAGAGCTGAAGGGCAGAACAAAAACTTACGATCAGGAATATATATGTATATATATTGGTGGGACTCTCGAAGTAATCATTGATTGGAATTAGTAAGGAAGTATTTGAGGACGAGTTAAAGCTAGACAAAGAAGAGAGTTTTCATATCGGACCGAAGCTGAAGATCAGGGTATTTGCGAAGGTACAATTTTAGAGGTAAAACGCCACAAAACACTGCATGATTTCCGCAATCGTAAAGCCAGATTTTTCAATCGAATTGGCTTTAATTTGGCATTTTTGTGTTTTCAGAATACGAGGGCATAGTAGTAGAAAAATATCATAAATATGTTCCCTACAGAAAGGTGCAGCTCCAATTTAGGTGTTTTGAATATAACAGTGGCATTTTCCAACCCGAAATGGAAGTAATATGGCTTTTCAGGTTATCAACGAATAAACGTCCCTTTACAGAAATATTTCGGTATAGGTTAATATTATTTTTAAATTATATAGCCTTAAAAAAAGACTTCTTAGTTGAGAAACGTCAGACACCCACAAAAACCACGAACGATTTTCGGTTTTAGTCGTATTTTTTATATCCTCAACCTTATGACTAATGAGGGTATATACATTTTGTTTCGGTGAAAATGTGCTTCTTGGAAATATTGGTTTTAGACCCCATGTTTCTTTGGACCAAATCCGTTTCAGAAAATTTGGAGACGATTTACACATTTCCGTCCGTCCGTTGTACGTCTGTCTGTCTGTTTGGCTGGTGCGTACGATAATTCTCGTAGGGAATAATCGATTTCATCCAAACTTTGCACATTTTTATATTTCTTCCAAACTTAGTTGAAGTTCGAAGATGGGGAATATCGGTCCACTCCTTCTGGTACCTCCCCCACAAAACGGTCAAAATTGTGCTAAAAATTAATTTCATAATAACATGCAAATGTACTAATTGATTTTAATAAATCATTGTACAACTTATTATCTTTACCAAGCCTAGATCATGTAGGAAGATAGGACCCATTGGTCCACTAATTCTGGTACCTTCCCCACAAAGGGTAAAAATATTTTTAAAACCAATATCAGAAGATTGGAATGTCCAATTTGAACCATACTTTGCACAACCCATTACCATTACCAAGCCTAAGTCAAGTTTGAAGATGGGACCCATTGGTCCACTTCTTCTGGTACCTCCCCCACAAATTGTCAAAATTTTCAATATTTGTATGTTCAATATCAGGCGATTGGAATGCCGGATTTGAACCCATTTTTGCACAACCTATTCTATTAACCAAACCTAGATCAACTTTGAAGATGGGACCACTTCCGATTTGGACCAAACTTTGCACAACGTAGTATCATTACCAAGCCTAGATCAAGTCCGAAAATGGGATCCATTGGTGCACTCCTTCTGGTACTTCGCACAAGAATAGTTTAAATTGTTTATGAATCCAGTATTAGGCGAACGAAATGGCCGATCTGAACCAAGCTTTGCATAACCTGTTACCTTTACCGAGTCTAGATCAAGTCCGAAGATGGGACCCATTAGTCCTCCCATGCGACCCATTAGTATCTCCCACACAAATGGTCAACATCCTAGGCAAACCATAGGGTGAGGGTATATATCTGTCGGCAACGCCGACTGACACTTTTTTACTTGTTTTAATCGAAATGGCTACAATTTTCCATTTTTGTGTTCTCCGAATATGGGTGACCTCTATTATAGCTTTGTGTGGGCCCAAGAGTTTTGTAACGCTGTGAAATATTGGACTTAGACCTATTGGACCTTTTAGTATACCAGTCGTGTGTGTTCGTCCGTCTGTCCATTACAATTTCTAAATACGATACATGTCATAGTTATGGACCAATCGTTACGAAATTCGCATTTGGACTCGTTCTGGTCAAAGAAGACCACATCGGATTATATTTAGGGCATACAATCGACCAAACTTTTTTTGTCTGGTTTTCAGGTCGCTCGGGTCAAATAAACCAAGTCTGTTGTGTCCAAAGTGACAAAATGACACAACAAAAAACATGATCTGGAAAGGTTACCAGTGTAAGAATGTGAAGAATGAAGAATGCGAACCTGCAAAAAAATACCTCAGCTCAAAACTAACGTCTCTAGATAAAACTGGACTGACGATTTTTTTCTATATAAATATCTTGGAAAGAATACCGAATTGTTTTTATTAATAAAAATTATCTCAGCAAGGCTATCGATTTTTGTTCTCATTAGACACAAAAATACTATGTTAACAAATTTTCTAAATTTTCTAAATCTAAAGAAAAAACCATAGAAAGTCTGGCCAAATTTTTTTAAGGGAAAACATCAGAGGTCTGATAACATTTTTGGCACCTTCGTTTTACCTTCTTAGGGAAAAAAACTTTAGCTGGGCTGACGATTTTTTTCTTTTGAGAGAAAAATCTAATTCTTATGTTTTACAGGAAAAAACACCAGCACAATGCTAACGATTTTTTTTCAATAGGAAAAAATATCTCAGCAGGGCTTCTAATTTTTGTATTTTTTTAATCACCATAAAATCCGAGGATTCCCATAATCCCAGTTTGTAGTGATAGGGTAGGGATATATGACTACATTAGCCACGTATTTCTTGTCTAAGTTTTTATCATTTTCTACCAACTAATTTTTCGCGTGAGTCGTTAATGTTGCAACTGCGTTATCAGATTTCCTTTTATAGTTAATATAAAAACAAAAACAAATTTCGACGAACGGATTTGACTCTTTCTTATCTAAGTCCTGTTAGTGCTATACACGCAGGAAACCAGTATTATATTTTAATTAAGACTGGATGCTAAAATTCACCAACAAACGCACACGCACACTCACATACACTCTCGCACAATAAAAGTCATTTTAATTAACTCTGAGGTATTATCCGAAATAAAAATCTGTGAAAACAAAACCATAGGCGGCAGAGTAAGGCATTTTGATAAGCTCCGGAGAAAAAAAACACAAAACGCCACTATGAAATTTGTATGCACGTACGGATGAAGAAATATGGTAGTGTTGAGAAGACTGGCACACACACAAACACACTGACAATAGACTTAATTTGCCAGAGGGATATTCGAAAAAACCAAGTTTCCAAAAGCAAAACAATAAAAATGAATGTTTAATGTAGACAATCATACAACATACACACACATATGTAAGATGTACGT